GCCCCTCCTGTCTCCTCAGCCCAGCCCAACCCAGGCTCAGGTCTTGAGCTCTGCCCTAAAGCAGTAACGGAGACTCCCAGGATCCAGAACTCCAGGCCCCTCCCGCCCCAGGAGCTGGGAGTCCTAACGACCACCCGCCCCCACCTCTGACACCTCCACTTCTACCTTCATTTATAGCAGCATAGTGATCATGATTCTGACGAAGGGGCATGTGTGTAGTGGGGGCAGTGCCCAATTGCCCATTAGGGGATGCAGGGGTGGGCCAAGGCTTCCCTCCTTCAACCAGTGGTCCTTCCAGCGGCCACCAGGGAGTCCACCCACCCCCAGAGGCGGGGTCCCTTCAATCCCCGGCACTTGAGGTGTGGCACTTGAGGTGTACTGTCCATGGGAGGGGCTGGGTCAGGAGCAGGCCAGGGTGGATGCCCTTGGTCTCATCTTGGATGAGTAGCCCGGTTCCTCCTCCACACGTCCTGGGGGGGAGGAGAGGGGGGCAGACAAACAGAGAAGTTGGTGAATAGGCAGGGGGCCAAGCAGCCAAGGAGAAGTGGGGGCCTGCCAAGGTGGGGACAGGGGGCAGGGTCAACATCTTCAGATAGCAAGAGACCAGGTGCAGGTATCAGATGGACAGAGTCCAACAACTGGCAGAGAGCAGCCGAGGCTCAGAGAAGGGAGAGAAGGGCATTGAAGGTCAGTGCAAGAGAGAAGCCTGCGCCTTCTTCCTTCCCGCCTGCCCTGCTCCCAACTCCAGCCTTCTTCCTTCAGCTGGAAAGAACAAAGGTGACCTTGCCACCTGATCCCACCCCCTTGGCCACCCAGGCACTGGGCCACTGGCACTTCCTCCAGGAAATGGGGTTCCTGCTCAGGAGCCCCAGTCCTCTCACCAGCTACGTGGCCTCCTGGCTGGATTCTGGCAGCGGCCGAGGGCCCAGGGCAGTGCTGAGCAGCTCGGTCAGGGTGTCCAGCTTTCCCGCCAGCGCCTCGATGCGTTTCTCCAGGGCTCGGTGAGAGCTGCTCAGGCCCGACTGCAGGTCGCACAGGATCATGTGCATCTGGGTGGGCAGAGAGGAGCCGGGATCAGCAGGCTGCGAGGGCAGCAGCCCCGAAGGAGGTCTGAAGTGCACAGAAAGTTAAGCACTCAAGGACTTGCTGAAAGGAGGGCCCACTGAGCCCACTCAGGGGGTTCTAGGCAGACAGCTTCCTAGAGGTCCCAGCCCGGAAAACCCAAGGGAGCAGCTCAACGCAGCCACACACAAACTCCACACGCAGTTACCCATAATCACCAGAAAACCGAACCCCACAGCCACCGAGTTAATTCCGACTCACGGCGACCCTACAGGACAGGGTGGAAGTGCCCCTGTGGGTTTCTGAGACGGTCGCTCTTCACGGGAGTAGAAAGGCCTGTCGTTCTCCCCAGGGGCAGCTGGTGGTTTCGAACTTCGGACCTTGCTCTTAGCGGCCCCATGTGTAACCACGACACCACCAGGGCTCCGTGCACAGTTTACAGTCCTCCCCAAAGCCCTGGGGAGTAGAAATCCTGCTCCCATCTGGCAGGGGAGGAGACTGAGGCCCAGAGCGATCCAATGACATGCCCAAGGCAGTCCCCCGGAAGACTGAACCTGGAACATTGTTGTTATCTGTGACAGAGTCCACCTTTAATTCACGGTGACCCCATGCACTGTGGAACAAAACACTGCCCGGCCCTGCACCATCCCCGTGGTTGGTCATGGGTCAGACCCTTGCGCTCCATTGGTTTTCATTAGGTGACTTCGGACGTGGATCACCAGGCCTTTTTTCCTAGTCTCGGCTGGAACCTGTTCGGCACCAGAGCAACAGCCACGCCTCCAATAAGTGGTGGCTGCTGCCCCTGAGGTTCATGGGGAATCCAACCCGAGCCTCCTACAGAGTCAACAATAACGCAAAAAACACCAAACCCACTGCTCCATCAAGTCTCACTCACTGCCTATGAGTTACGGGGGGGGCCGTAACTCTTTACAGGAGTAGAAAGCCTTGTCTTCTCCCAAGAAGCAGCTGGTGGTTTTGAACCTCTGACCTCCCAGTTGGCAGCCTGACATGTAACCACTATGCCACCAGGGCTCCTCCTGCCATTAAGTAGATAGGGTTTCTGGGGCTGTCAATCTCTATGGGAGCAGACAGCCTCAGCTTCGTCCTGCACTTGTAGCACCTGGGGGGTCTGAACCGCCAGCCCTGCAGTTACCAGTTCAATGCTTAACAGACAGTGCCACCAGGGCACCCACCGAATAAGTATTCATGAGACACTGTGGAACTGATGAAGAACAGACTTCACAGACCACCCGACCCTGTCATGATATTGACGCCATCCTCGGTGGGCCGATGAATACTCCAGGGAGATTTCCCGTGTGAATTCCCCGTCAGGAGAAGTTCTTGCATTCTGTGTTTCGGGCTTGATGACCTTCGTAATCACCTCGCCCGCAGCCTGTCCTACTGTGGTGGCTCTTGTGTCGCTGAGATGGTGGAAGCTGTGCCACCAGGATTTCAAATACCAGCTGGGTTGCCCATGGCGGACAGCTTTCCAAAAGCCCACAGGCTGTCCATGTCTAAGGGATCAGCCACGGACAATCTTATGAGCACGGGCGCCGGGAGATGAGCCCCGCAGGAATGAAGGCACTGAAACTACGACTGAGGAAGAGCTGCCTCCTCAAGTAGGCTTGGCTTTAAGCACATGGGCCAAGTGAAGCTTTCGGGACCTTCCATTGCTGGTGGGGCACGGCTCAACAGGAGAAGACAGCTGCAGGCATACACCGGGGATCGACACAGTGGCTGCACTAAGAGGCTCACACGAGGCGGTGTTTTGTTCCACTGTACCACGGGTCACTGCGTGGCAGAACCACTGATCTTCATAAATGCCCACGGACTGTGGGGCAGATCTGGACACGCTCCCTCCCCTCCCTCCCCCAGGCCTGCCCTGCTGCTGTGAGGCGTACCTCTCTCTGCCTGTGTTTGCCACAGGTGGAACTGCCACGGAGCATTGAAAAATGAGGAAAATGCAAAGGCCACCAGATAAGCCAGGGGCCTTGAGGAGTTTGAGACAAGCCACGGAGGCGTAGACCAAGGCCCCCCCAAGTGCTGGCTGCATCAAGCTTTCCCAGATGAAAGGGCGGGGGTGGTGGTGGGGTGGTGGCTGAGCAGAGTCACTCCAGACCAGCACTCCCCAAACACCTGGGACCTCAGCACCTCCTCTGAGACAGCAGCAAATACCGTTTGATTAAACAAGGTTAGCTGTGTTCATGCCAAGGTCGTTAATTGGGATTTTATTGGCTTTGCATGTATGTGGGAACTTTGGTTTGTAAATTTACTTTCGGCTTTATTGTTTTACAAGAGGCATAGCTGGAAGGAGTGGTCTACATCCATCCACAGGGAAGTAATTTAAGGAGCTCTGGGCGTGCAGTGCATAAGCACTTGTTCTCACGCATAGAGGTTGTTGGTTCAAACCCACCAGAACCTTCTAACCGCTCTGCAGCAGAAAGATGTGACAGGCTACTTCCATACAAGATGATCACCCAATTCAACCCCACCGAGTTGATTCTGAATCATGGAGACCCTGTAGGACAGAGTAGAACTGTCCCTGTGGGTTTCTGAGACGGTAAATCTTAAAAAAAATGTTTTTATTGACATATAATTAACATATCAAAACAATTCAATGGCTCAATCAGATTAGAAAGAGTTGCAATCACCACCAACATCAGTTTTAGTGGGGCTGTTAATTGCAAGGTCAACAGTTGAAAACCCCAGCCGATTCACGGTGACCCAAGGGAGAAAGACTTGGCTTTCTAGTGTTGTAAAGGATTAGTCTCAGAAAGACTCCGTTTCCTACTGGTGTAAAGTGTTACAGTTTCAGAAACCCCTGCAGGCAGTTCTTCAGTGGTTCTCAACCTTCCTAATGCCACGACCCTTTCATACAGTTCCTCATGTGGTGGTGACCCCCAACCATACAATTGTTTTCATTGCTACTTCATCACTGTCATTTTGCTACTGTTATGAATCATCGTGTAAATATCTGATATGCAGGTTGTATTTTCAGGGTTTCAAATTGAACATCATTAAAGCAATGTGTTGAATCACAAAAAACGATATGTAATTATATGCGGTGAGATATTTATTTCTAATGACAAATAAATGAAATGTCTTGAACCATGGGTAACAGTCTTCATGCCGGGTACTCATTCGTGGGGGTATCTGCGTGTGGGCGGATAGAGGAGCGGTGTCTCGGTTCCTTAGACCATTGGAAATGCATGGTTTTTGGTGGTCTTAAGCGACCCCTGTGAAAGGGTCGTTCAACCCCCAATGGGGTCGAGACCCACAGGTTGAAAACCACTGGTTTATAGGGTCTCTGTGAGTTGGAATTGACTGGATGGCAGTGGATTTGGTTTGGTAACTCTTTTCAGGAGTAGAAAACTTCAACTTTCTTCCCTGGAGCGGCTGATGGTTTCAAACTGCTGACCTTGTGGTTAGTAGCCCAATGTGTAGTATAACCCACTATACCACCACACTTCTTTGTGATGAAAAGACCTATCATTATGGGACAGTTCTACTCTACTCTGCCCTAAATGGTCCCCATGAGTTAAAATCACTTCTTTAGCAGTGGGTTTGATTTCGGCGAGTCACCTGACAATAAAAGGAATTTTAAATAAAATATTGAGGTTTTCTGTGCAATTTCTTCTCTTTCTTTAATTTAAAAGGCATCTGTACCTTAAATAGGTGCCCTGGTGGTGTGATGGGTTATAGATTGGGCTGCTCACCTCAAGGTCGGTGGTTCAAACCCACCAGCTGGTTCTTGGAAGAAAAATGAGGTTATCTGCTTCTGTAAAGGTTTTCAGCTTCGGCAGAGCCTGCTTAGGGTCGCGGAGTTGGGATCAACTCGATGGCTGTGGGTTGGGTGCCTTAACTAAAGATCTATGGTGGTACTGTGGGTGAGGGATTAGGCTGCTAACCACAAGGTTGGTGATTCAAACCCACCAGCCGCTCCTTAAGAGCAGATGAGGCTGTCTGCCCCTGCGAATAGTGGCAGTCTCAGAAACCCCAAAGAGCAGTTCCACTCTGCCTTCTAGGGTTGCGGGATCAGAGTATTTAAATGTCAAAACTCACTGCCACCAAGTGGATTCCAACTCATGGTGACCCTGAGACAGGGTAGATCCAATAGCTGGGCTCCACTGCCCGCCCCCACGCTCCCCAGCAACCCACACACAACCAAATTTGGGATTCAGTAGGTCTGGGTGGGGGTCTGGGAAGCTGCATTCACAAGTTCCCACATGATGCTCGGGCCCCACAGACCACTAGCTAAACCCAAACCCAACCCACACACAGCCACCGAGTCAATTCCAACACAGAGTGACCCTACAGGACAGGGTAGGACTTCCCCTGTGGGTGTCCCAGAGTGTAACTCTTTCATGAGTAGAATGCCCCATCTGTCTCCCTAGGAGTGGCTCCTGGTTTTGAACTGCTGACCTTGCCTTTATTAGCAGCTGAACACAGTGCGTAACCACTATGCCACCTGGGACCCTGGGTGGTGCCAATGGTGACTAGCCCAACCCAAAGTCTGGAGGTTGGAACCCTTCTCCACACCTCGTATGAAAGGCCTGGCCCCCCTCTTCCAAAGCGTCAGCCACTGAAGACCCTGTGGGGTACAGTTCTCTGACACATGGATGCTACCCACCCACCCACCATGAACGTGGTTTGGTTTCCGATGTCTTAAATGAGCCCACGTGACTGTTTTGTATCACTCATTCATTCATCGATGCCATCGCAGATGTTTACCGAGCTCTGGGGTGGGCCAGGCCCCAGCTCCTGGGTCATATCTCCCAGCCTGTGACCCCTTCCCCCTCCATCCAGAGTCCCTCCCTCCTGCAGGACCTCGTACCTTGGAGATGTCCACCATGGCGTTCACCTGTTCCCGGAGCTTCCGGTGTTTCAGCCGCACCTGGCGGAACCTGTGGGAGGAGCGAGCAGAGGGTCAGCTCTCTGACAAGCCTGATCCTCAGACGTGGCCCGAGCTCAGGGGCGGGACTGGGGAAGGAGAAACCCACTCGGACACCGTACAAGGAGGAGGACTTGGGGGAGCAGGTGATAGCTGCACCCCTGGGCCCGCCCAGGGATAGACCCAGACAGAATGTCTCGGATGGAGGGTACAGGTCCATTTCCACGCTGGGACACGCCATCAAAGACACCCGAGTCTGGACTGCAGCCTCATGCAGGGCGCTAAGCAAGGACCACCCAGTTCAGCTAGCTGCTCCTGGGCTCAGGACCCTCAGAAACAGAATCAGGAATGTGTGCTGTTTCTCCAAACCAAGACACACTCGCTGCCATGGAGTGGATTCTGACCCACGGCAACCCAGCAGGGCGGGCAGCACCGCCCCTGTGCGCTTCTAGGGCTTAACTCTTGATGGGGAGTATCTCCCACGGAGCGGCTGGTGGTTTTCGAACCGCTGACCTTGGACGCTCAGCCACTCCAGCACCAGGTGCTCAGAGCTGTGAACTCTGGAGGCCGTTGGCTTCGGAACAATAGATCTGAGACTATTTAAAAAGCAGGACGATGGTCCCTGCCAGGTTCAAGTGCATGTGTTCAGACCCAGTTGGGGTGGGGGGTTCTGACACACACACACACACACACACACACACACACACACACACACACAGTGCAGAGAGGAGGGGACGTGAGCACAGCGGGCGCGCACGCGGACGCACACACGGGGTCCTCACGTGCTGATGGCGGCCAGCAGCCTGCGCTGGTGCCTGCGGGCGGCTCCCGAGTCCTTCCTGCGCGTGTGTTTGTAGAACATCCAGGCCTCCTGCAGCACCCGGGCGGCCGACTCCTTCATCTGGGGGCACGAACACAGAGGCATCAGTGGGGACAGGGCTGGGGACAAGGCAGGACGAGGGAAGAGGGAAGAGGGAGGAGGGGGCGGGGCGGGTCCGAGGGAGGAGGGGCCTGGGTGTTCTTGGCCCGTGGATGGGCTTACCTCCTTGGCATACTGGATGTCCAACATGAAGTTGTGCACGTGCTTCTCTGCTTTGTTAAACTCCAGCTTCCGGGCCACCACGGCCACCAGCAAGGCTGTGCAGCAGACACCCTGTGGGCACAGCGGCAGGTGCTAGGGGGCTCAGCGGACGGCCGATCACCCTCTCTCCCCTGGAACCCACCCCACAGGGCCATCCTGGTTGGCAGACAAGTCCTCTTAGGCTCAGAGAGGGGACCAAGGTCCCACCGTTCAAGAACAAATCCCATGTGTCCTGGTCACACTATGGGAATTGTGCTCTTGTTAAGGCGGGGATGGGGAGAGGAGACTGGGCTCCTGCAGGGACCCTTTGCTCTCCCATCTGACCCCTTCGGACCCTCCCCCTTCTCCCCCTTCACAGCCTCCACCCCAGCTTCCACCCTGCGCTAGTCACCTGCTGGCCCCAGAGGGACCTAACACCCAGCTGTGACCCTGCTGTGTTCACTCCAATCTCCTAGGCTCTCATGTTCCCAAACTTCTTAGCCCAGGATTTAAGACCTTCCAAGGTGGAGGGCCCCTGCCCTCTCCCATCTCTTTGCCCCACCTCTGCCATCAAGTCAATTTCAACTCCCAGAGACCCTTTAGGACAGGGTAGTGCCTGTGGGTTCCAAGACTGTAACTCTGTACAGGACTAGAGAGCCTCATCTTTCTCCCACGGAGTGGCTGATGGTTGCGAACTGCTGACCTTGTGGTTGGCAGCCCAATGCATAACCACAATGCCAATGGGCTGCTAACCTTTGAGTCCCAAGGTCCCCGTGACCCCTGTTCGTTTCTCCTGGAGCTGGAATGACCCTTCCGCTGGAACCAGGTGGCCTGCGCTCGGCCACACACAGGATTCCGAGAGGCTGAAGCCTCAGCTCTGGGGACTGCCCTGGCTCCCAATCTCAGCTCTGAACAAGCTGTGCCATGGCTCTGTGCCTCAGTGTCTTGTCTGTAAAGTGGGCCCGCCCTCACAGTGCCATGCTGGGAATCCCATGAATCCATGAATGAAGGCCCTGGAAAGTGGCACAAACCCAGCCTGCCACAGAGTCTGTTCTCCACAAAAGGGCGAGAGTTCGTGCCATCGCACTGGAAACCTCTGCACCAGGAGCTGGCTAGACCCTCTAGTGCAGCGGTTCTCAACCTGTGGGTTGCAACCCCTTTGGGGGTCAAATGGCCCTTTCACAGGGCTCGCCCGATTCATCACAGTAGCAAAATGACGGTGATAAAGTAGCAACGAAAATAATTGTATGATTGGGGGGGTCCCCACCACATGGGGAACTGTCTGAAAGGGTTGGGGCCTTAGGAAGGTTGAGAACCACTGACTTTGTGCACACTGAGTCCTTTCTCTCAGAGTCTCCTTTGGCCAGGCAGCGGAAGAGGCTCTGGCCACCCTGGAGGGCCCCTGACCCTTTGAGATTATCTCCCAGGCTAGATCTTTGCTCCATCTCCCCAGCCCCAGACACACCACTATGGGGGACATACTTCCCCACCACCCCATCTGTCACTCAAGGACCCAGGGCATGGGGATTCCAGTATGATCCTTTTTGGAATGCCCTGGGACAATGCCAGGGCTGGGGTCTTGAGTCTCTGAGGGGGAAGGGGAAGTGAAGGCCAGGGCATTGGGTGTCCAGGGGGGCAGGGACTGGGGAGGGGGCCTACAGAAGAAAGTGGGTGGGATGACTGGATGCAGGAGGAAGGGAGGGGGCCAGAGTCTGGGGTCAGAGAAGCCTTTGCTTCAGCCCCTGAAGACAGTGGTGTGAGTGAGGGCTGTTAGATATCTGGGCCAATCATGTCAGAGCGGTCCCCTTTTCCATTTATGGAGTCCTTCCTGTGTATCGGCTAGGAGCCCTGGTGGCATAGTGGTTACGAGTTGGACTGCTAACTGCAAGGTCAGCAGTTCAAAACCACTAGTTGCTTTGCAGGAGAAAGAAGAGGCTTTCTACTCCTGTAAAAGAGTTACTGTATCAGAACCCACAGGAGCAGCTCTACCCTGTCCTATAGGGTTCCTGAGTCAGCATTGACTCGATGGGAGTGAGTGTTAGACTTTTCTGAGTTTTCCTGAACTGGGCACTGGGCACTGCTAGTGTCCCTGAACGTGGCTTAACTAATTGGATCTCAGCAACCCAGGGCTACCCTAGCACCAGGCCCAATCAAACTCACCCTACCAAGTCACTCCCATGTGACAGATGAAGAAACTGAGGCACAAAGAGGTCATATGGCTTGCCTAAGGTTCCCCGCCCCATTCCCACTCCCACCTCCCACTAGGAAGTGGCAGCAGCAGGATTTGAACCCAAGTAGTCTGGCCCCTCTGGTATGCTATTGATGATCATTCTGGATGGCCTTATGGAAGCTGGAAGACAGGATTCCTGGGTCCTAGTGGTGCCTACAAATCCATGTGTGTGTGCAGTTAATTCATTCAGCTGTCAACAGATGGAGTAGTGGTTTCTAGTCCCTCCAGAAGTGTCTTGGAAGAGAAGCCATCCAAGGACTTGGGAGCCCTTATGCAGGCCAGTTCCACTCTGACGCCGGTGAGGGCGCCACGCGTGGGAGTCAGATTTTCAACAACTGTGTGGTTGTGGGTAGAAGAAAGCAGGTGCCTGTGCCCTACACATGTTCGAGGACGGGGACCAGGACATCCGAGTCTCCTGGGGCTGGGGGCCTGGCTTCCTGCATTGCAGAAGGAAAGGGCGCTGGGGAGTTAGTCGCCTGGGTCCTTGAGGACGCTGAGGGATGGAGGATGAGGGCTGTGGAGAGCAAGGTCAAGGGGGCTGGCTTTCTGAATCTGGGATGGGAATGGGGTGATGTCTTGGTTCTGGAAAAGTGCTGGGCAGTGGAGGTGGGGTGTCCCGGGGAGTCTGGGCAGGTGTAGCGTCCCCGAGGGGGTGGTACTCACCATGACCCCAGTGCAGAGGCAGACAATCTTGCCCCACATGGTCCCTGGCACCACATCCCCATAGCCAATGGTCAGAAAGGTGATGGGGATCAGCCACAGCGTGTCCAGAAGGTGGCCAGTGGCATTAACGGCCTGTCTATGGGGAAAGGTAGGTTAATTTTGATACCATGCCTTGGGGTTTTCCAATTGCTAGCAACGCCCCCCCCCCCATTATGCCTCTCCTACTCCCTGCTTACTCCTACCCTGCCACAGTCCGAAGAAGCACCCCCCACCCCCCACTCCCACACAGACATAAAAAGGTCCGAGCTTTGGGTCTCTTCTCTTTGCAGATCAACTTAGACTAGATGCCCAGATACCCTGGGCTGTGGGATTTGAACCAGGACCGGGCCAGTTCCAAAGCCTCTCTCGGGCTGTTGCATTCGGAGTCCACTGTGGGCAGAACGGACAACCGAACAACATCAAATCTTTCGGGAGTCCCACCCTTTCCATTCTGAGCAGGCCACCTCTCATCCACGCAGCATCTTTGTGGAAATTAGACAGAAAGGGCTCCCCATCCTCGGGTAGAATGGGACCTTAGGCCCACAAGCCCACTTGTGTCCCCTCTCACCAGGGCTCACGGAGCCCCGTTTCAGACCCTCTGAATTAGAGTCTCTAGGGAAGCCTGGTGGCATAATGGTTATGTGTTAGGTCGGAATTTGAAACCACCAGCTGCTCTGAGGGAGAAAGATGAGGCTTTCTGCCCCTGTAAAGATGTATTGCATCAGACTTACACAGGGGCAGCTCACTATGAATCAGAACCAACTCAATGGTAGTAAGGGGTGGGGCCTGAATCTCCCTTGAAACAGTGGGGTGGGGGGGTTTATTCATTGGTCCAGATACGGCCCAATCTCCAGCTTGGGGAAACAGAGATGCTGGGAGATAAAAGGGCTAAAAACCACCAAAGATTAAACAGCCAGGGAGACTTTACAGGCTACGGGGCTTGAGACCCACTTTGCAGATGAGGAAACTGAGGCTCAGAAGTGAGCCGTCACACAGAAAACTGGAGGCAAGATTTGAACCTGAGAACCAGCTACAGGAAACCAAAAATTCCCCTCCAACAGGAGCAGACATCCGAAGGAGCCGCAGTGTTTGCTGAAACTCATAGCCAGGCCCCACCAAGGGCGTTTCCAAGTTTCACGTTTCAGATTCAGTAGATCTGGGTGAGGCCACCTAGGAAGTCACATGCATAAGTCCCCAGGGGATGCTCTGGGCTCAGACCCTCACTTTGAAAGCCACTGACTAATCTCCAAACACAACCCGAACCAACAACTGTCATCGAGCGGATTCTAACTCATGGTGGCGCTAGGGGACAGAGGAGACCTCTGCTGGAGGGTTTCTGAGGTAGTTAATCTTTATAGAAAAAGACAGCCTCTTCTCTCTCCATCGGAGCGGCTGGTAGATTCAAACTGATGACCCTGTGGTTAGCAGCCCAACATGTAACCCACTGCACTACCAGGGCTCCTCCATGGGCTAAAACGATGATCCCCATGTTCCTTCTCCAACAGAAAACAAACAGATTCAGCCAGGATCCGGTTCTATGAGGGGACATCAGAGAGTTCATGGAAAAATGAAATGAACTGATAACAGGATTTCCCCATCAACCTTTTGAAGCCGCTTCGTACAAGATCTAGTGGGCAGCCTCAAATCCCACCCCGATCCTGACCACTGCAGGGATGCTGTATCTCCAGACTCCAGAGACCAAACCCAATCGCTATGGCTTCTCTGTTTTGATGGAGAAGCCCTGGTGCCCTGGTGGGTGAAGCACTGGACTGCTTGCTATCCCAAAGGTGCAGGCCCACCAGTTGGTCCTCAGGAGGAAGAAACTGTCCCTGTGAAGACGGACAGTCTCAGAACGCCTATAGAATAGGGTTGCTATGAGCTAGAAACAACTGGATGGCAGTGGGGAGTCTGTGTGGAAGTGGAGCACAAGGCCTATTCTCTGGTGGCAGTGGCACCGATGGTTGGGCCTGAACTGCCAATCTTCAGGTGAGTAGACGCGGCCAAACTGTTGTGTCACACACACTCACACTCACTCCCTGCCATCAAGTCATTTTGATTCCTAGTGACCCTACAGGGCAGGGTGGAACTGTCCCTGCAGGTTCCCCGAGACTGTCACTGGATTCAAGCTGCTGATCTTGTGGCGAAGCAGCTCAGTGCTTGGCCAGCGACAACACAGGTGTGTGTGTGTGTGTGTGTGTGTGTGTGTGTGTGTGTGTGGGCTCCTTTTGTACTCTCCGCCCGGGGCCTTTATTCTTCCCCAGAGCCGTCCCAGTGCAACGTGTAGCACTGACAGTTGTCTCCAAGCCCCTTCCCCTCAAGAGGATGTGACTTGTGGCCTGGCGCCAGCCAGTTGCTGGGTTTGGAAATGGATCCGATCTGGGGGTCCTGAGATTGGGGCGACCGGGCAGGAAAGAGCCTGGGCAGGCTGCGAGTGGAGGAAGGGCTGGGATTGGCTTGCTGGTTCCTCACCGCGCTGGTAAAGACGGATGAGGGTGTGGGCAGACCTCCGCCGGGAGGAGAGTGGAAAATGTGAGCTTTCTCCGCGGCTCCATTCCCAACCGGCTCCACCGTCCCGTTCCATCCCGGGCACCGCCTCCCCCGGCGCGCGCTCACCTCTCGGCCACCGACAGCACCCAGGCGGTGGTGAGCCACAGGCCGAGCGTGAGGCCGAGCAGCAGGCGGCCCGGGTGCGTGTTCATGTACAGCTTGGCCACGAACCAGTGGCGGAAGCGGACCTGGTTGAGGGCGCCGATGCTGCGGTAGGACGCGTTGAGCAGGACGCCGCTGCGCAGGAGCACGGCGCGGGGCACCAGGTAGAGGCGCAGCAGCATGGCCAGCGACAGCAGCGCCTCCTCCTGACCCAGGAAGCCCGGCCAGGTGGGCGCCGCCCCGCGCGGCATGCACGGCGGGCCCCGCACGGGCGCCGGGTGCAGCCCGCACACCGCCAGCTCCAGTGCGATCTGCGCCGCCTGCCGCCGGGTCAGCGCCACGCGCCAGTCCCGGAGCCCGTTGTCCGTCATGAACAGCTGGACCTCTTTGGCATGGAAGGCCACAATAAAGCAAAGAAGCAGGCAGGTGGAAACGCTGATCATGCATTTAACCAGGAACAGGTAGATGGCCCACTTGGTCCTCCTCCTCCAGACCGTCCAGGGGCTCTGACTTCCAGCTCCCACTCCCCACAGACCCAGGAGTCTGGACCCCCTAGCCCGCTCATCCCTCAAACCTAGGAGGACCGGCCCCCCAGCCCACTCCTCCCTCAGGCTGGGAGCCGCGGTCCCCCACCTCCCTGCCTGCGCCCCAGTACTTCCTGTGCCTCGACTCCTCCAGTGGCTCCCCACCTATGCCTCCCTCTGGCCCCCTATTTTTTATCTTTTAATTCCATTTTTTCCAGGAACTTTTTGAAGTTCCCGTATATAGTCTTAGACCAGCGGTTCTCAACCTGTGGGTCACGACGACACCATTGGGGGTCGAATGACACTTTCACAGGGGTCGCCTAAGACCATCGGAAAACATCGGAGACACCGCTCCTCTATCTGTCTCCAGGCGGGTCTGCCCACATGCAGATACGCCCACATACAAGTACCCGGCGTGAAGACTGTGACCCATGGTAAACCACGCTTCAAGACAACATTTCATGGATTTGTCATTAGAAGTAAATATTTCACAATATATAATTACATATTGTTTTTGTGATTAATCACGATGCTTTAACTATGTTCAATTTGTAACAATGAAAACACATCTTGCATATCAGATATTTACATTATGATTCATAACAGCAGCAAAATTACAGTGATGAAGTAGCAACAAAAATAATGTTATGGTTGGGTGTCCCCACAACTTGAGGAACTGTATGAAAGGGTCGCAGCATTAGGAAGGCTGAGAACCACTGTCTCAACATTTCGATGTTTTTGTTTAATAAAGGTGTCTGTGATTTTGTAGCAATATTTGGTGACTCCCACTTGCATATTTCCTCATCTTTGACTTCTTACTCTCTCCCCTAAAACTGCATGCACCTCCTCCCTACCACCACTAGGAGCTCCACACCAATGATGCCCTGCCCCAGCCTGGGTCCCATCTGCAGTCAATGCCCTTGCTTCCTCTGTCGGCACTTCTGCTATGTTTTTCTTTTCCTTATTCTGGGGTGGTGGGCACACAGTCTTCACCCCCCAAATAAAATAAGACAAGAAAGGACGGCTCTAACCCTAACCCATCTCACTCTGGCACCAGCTACCCCGCCCCACTGGAACCAGGAAAAGACAGCCACCAAACGCCTGGCCCCGAGAGCCTGGCGCAGCAGCCCTCCAAAGATGGAGCTGCACAATTCAAAGGCCACTTTCTTCTGCGTGGGTTCCAGTCACAGAGTCAGGTCCTTCGAGGTCAGAGATGGACTGACACAGTGTGGGGGGCAAAGGGACACTCCCTCAGCCAGAGGGGGCCAGCATCAGGACTACTGGAACTGCGTGGCACAAGCGCACTGGCAGGCCTACACTAGATGAAAGCTTGCCCGTTTACCCAGAAAAACAGCAGCCCAAACAAACAACAGGCTGCCCGACTGTACACAGGAGAAGCTGCCAAGAGCCCGACTCCATGCAGTGACCACGCCGTGCACGGCCCCAAATGCCCCGCAGGCTGCCACCAACTGGATCATCTCCAGGGGGTCCCTGCCCTGGATGCCCTGCTCACCCGCCCTGATCAGGGGAGCCCAGGCCTCTGGCCGACGCCACAAGTGGTCCCTTCCCTAGCACCTAGATGGGGGGGCTTCACATCCCAGGGGCAATGCAGGCAAAATGACTGGAGGGTATCAGGTGACTAGGACCTCTGAGCCCCACAGCGCAAACATGTTTGAACTCTCCTGAAGCAAACACCACCACCACCCCCGCCCCCAGCCAAACAGAGGTGTGGTGACCAGACTCCCAGGAGAGAGGCCCATAGCCTTTTCCAAAAGACCCTGAGCGGACACCATCAAGCAAGTGAGAAGACAGCCCGATCCACTGACCGTGAGAAAAGGCCTCGGAAGCCTTTCCTAGCTCAACCCAAAGAGGAACCATCCCACTCAAAAATGAGCCAAGGACGTGCGTGGATAGTTCTCCAAATGAGACACACCAACAGCCATGTCATTGCTGCTGAGCTGCC